AATGCTACTGCTGCCCTAGATCCAACCAACAGAGATCCTGAATTAATTAGGCTGGGGTGAGAACAGGCATTTGCATTTTTTAACATGCTGTCTTACGGAAAAATTCAAACTCATGAAAAATACAACAGTACAAAGAACAGGATAACAACTCCCACGTAGCCAACAGCCAGATTACACAAGTAACTCAAGGGCAAACTTGTTTCATCTGAGCCCCACACCCCTCCCAGGAACTCACATTATTTTGAAATAAATCCCAGAAATGAAATCATTTCATAGTAATTATGTCAATAGGAATCTCTAAAAGGTAAGGGCTCTTAAAAATTATAACCACAATAACATTATCATACCATAAAGTAACAATTCTTGAATATTAATAAAATGTCCAGTTAGTGTTCAAATTTCCAATTGTTGCATAAATGTTATAATTCATTTTTTTACAGTTCACTTGAATCTGGACCAAAAGAAGGTCCACACGGTTTATATACCTCTTATGTACCTCTTTCAATCTATAGGTTCCTTCTCTGTTTCCTCCCCTCTTACCCTGTCAATTTATTTGTTTCAGAAACCAGAAAATTGGGTCATTTGATCTGTAGATATTTCCACAGACAGAATTTTGCTGATTGCCTCAGTATGGTGTCACCGCATGTTCCTCTGTCTCTGGTACTGGTTGTTAGATTTAGAGGCTTGATAAGATTCAAATTCAATTTTTCTTTTTCTAGGCAAGACTTTTTCATAATGGTGTGTTTTTCCATCAGGAGGCACATAATGTCTGGCTGCCTTTATTTTGTCTGACATCAGTAGCCATGATGATAACTTAAATCCATTAATTCATAAGAGTTACAAATTCTGAGATTTAAATTCTATCATTTATTGACTTGGAATACTTGTATAAAGGGAAACTCCCTTTCTTCTACTGTTTGGTTATCTGGTCATCCAGTTAGCATTGAAAAGACAACTCTTCCCCTTTTGTTGTCTGCTTTCAAAATAATGAATTTGTTCATAAGTATCCTCTAACAGTTACCAACTAATTTTCTTTTAGTATCATTATGAGTCTACTGTCATTCATGACATATTTGATGTGTTTCCATCCATTAAAGTTATTACTCTTGGGCCGGCCCCGTGGCTTGGCGGTTAAGTGTGCGTGCTCTGCTGCTGGCGGCCCGGGTTCGGATCCCGGGCGCGCACCGACGCACTGCTTCTCCGGCCATGCCGAGGCTGCATCCCATGTACAGCAACTAGAAGGATGTGCAGCTATGACATACAACTATCTACTGGGGCTTTGGGGGAAAAAATAAATAAGTAAATAAAATTATTTTAAAAAAGTTATTACTCTTATTGATGCTAAAATGGTGTCATCTTGGCCCATGGGAACCTCATCCAGCTGGCCCCGGAGTCTTTCTAACATGTAGCCTTTGATAGGTTCCCTGCTATCTCATTTGACAAGCTTTTCAAGGCTAATCTCTTACATTTCTCATCCCAGACCTGCAATTGCTTATTTTTGCAAGGAAGTTGACATCAACATATTTTTTTTGTTTCTCAGGTAATTCTAAAATGTAGCTTGGAGTGAGAACAATTGTTATAGCACTTCTCTCAATTTTGTAATTAATTAACAACAGGATGTTTCCAAAACTTTTTAAGGTAAATTATCTATTTCCTCAAACTTAATGACCCATCAGTTTGCTATATATCTGTTTAAATTTTATACCACTTTCCTTCTTAATAAATTACAACATTAGTACTCTCACATGAAGAACAACTGGGTTTCAAAAACAGAAAAACTTTCCAATTGCAATCGAGCATTACGTTATTCTCCTTCCTTTTTTTTTTTTTAACTCTTTTTGAGGAGTTAAAACTACATCCATATAAAGCCTAGTTCCAGCTTTCATGGACCTCTCTTATGACAATTCTTTGATTGCACAGTCAGAAAATAATGGAATGAGCTTTACAAATTTAACAGCTCACTGGCAACGAATACTTCTGCAAAACCTACATTTAAATACCGCTACAAAAATAAAAACAGCAGAGAAGAGTTTCCTGAAAAACTAGATGACAACATTGTGTAACGTAAAACAGGCCTCTTCAATTTCAAGTTTGATGATATGATCATGCTTTCAGCAAAACTGATTGCAGCCTTCCCACCAAAGTAATGCGGAGACCTAGGTGTTGCTGATGGGGTTTTAATATTACAGATCACGAGTGGTCATGAGACTGAACTTAGTGTTTGGTTAGAACTGCTATGAGGAATTTTCAGGCCAGATCTGCCATGTGGGAACCTGGCATCTGAATTAAGAACTTGTCAAGAACTCAATTTGAGCCCCTTGCTTGAGGAAATCCCAGATTTCCATACCTAAATCACTATGGTCACCTCCCCACGGTGAAAGATGGACTGCCTTGTTGCAGAATATGATTAACAGGAGGCAGAAACACAGGTTTAAATGGCCAACTGAAGTCACAGTATCAGTCTTGTGGTTTGTATACCAATTTCCTCTTCCTTGAGGTGGCTTTGATTTTTTTAATTGGAGACTTATTTTACCTTTTAAAATAATAAATCACCTTAAATGTTTCCCGGAAAGTGTTAGGGTGTAAGGTAACAAAGTATAGAAACATCCTTTAGAATCAAAATCAGTGAAACAAATCAGTGCTAATAATGAAAATGTTCCCAAGTAGATCGGAAAAACAACTTAACTCTGGCTAACAGTTTGTTCGCTTACCTCTAATTCATAGCCAGGTTCACACTGATAAATAACTGTGCTTTCAAAAGTGTATTTACTGCCAACCACAAATCCATGCTCTGGACTTTCAGGTTCCCCACAAGAAACTGGACTGCAGGATTCATCAGAAAATGGTGGCTCCCAGGTGCCATCAAGCTAAGTAACAAATAGCAAATTATATACATTTAGGAGTTAACACATCTGAATGAAGAACTTTGCCAATACTGATTGTGTGGCAGGATAATCTCCAAAATGATAGTCAAGAGGACCTAGAATTTGGTTCTACTTCTGCTACTTATTATCTGTGGCCTTAAAAAACACATTTATTAGATGGCCTTAACAGTCATCTCTAAACAATTGTAGACATTTTTTGAACACACAAAACAAGTGTTTTCTTACTAATAGAATTCATTAAAAAAATCAAGAACACTAAGAAATATGTTTTCATTAAGATGCATGAGGACTGGATGGTTGACACAAATATTCCATGACATACCAATGCACCCTTATATTTCACATAATTCTACAGTTTAATTTAATGTTTATGAGAAACAGCAACTCATAGCTGTTAAGTCATAACTTAAAAAGATGGCTTTTTTAACTCAGAGTTTAAAAAGATGGCTTCCTTTTCTCCATTCCAACATGAAGACTTGAAAACATTCTAGTATGTATTTTGGAGTGGGTCACATAGTTAAAAAATATATATATATACACACACATACACAAATACACACACTCTTTTGAGCATCTATGTGTAGACCATATGACTTATAGTTAATTTGTCATGTATATCTTGTTATAGATATTTTAACATTTTATCTAAATGGTTTTTTACCTATCCTTGGCACTTACTTAGTTTAAAAATGGGAATATTGGAAAGAAAGATATATTTGATTATATTTCTACTAAAAAACTTCTCAAATCCTCTGATGTGATTGGAAACTTGAGGCATTTTTCTTTTCAGGACAACAAGATACTGCTTGTGTGGAGACGTATATATATACATATATATATTTATATATTTCATATGTATAAATATTTTATATATAAATGAGTTACACTTACACATTCTAATTACGGCAGAGAATCTTACCTGACATGTTGCTATGTTAACCCCCACATGGGTATACCCTTCTGCACATGACACAGAAACTTGCTTAGTCACACTGAAATCATCCCCATGAACAAGTATATGTGTTATGTTTGCTGGCAGAGAACATTTTTTAGGACTGCAGGAGATTCTCTCAGGGAACCAATGACCATCTTTCTGACAGGTGAATGTATCTACATCTGTATCCATCATATAACCTTCCAGACACCTGCAATGGAAAAGCAAAAATGAGTGCCTTTTAAAGAGAGTACAATATAGTTGGTGATCTATTCTCGGATTTAAGAAACTGTTATAAGGCTCAGTAGACATTCTGTGCGATATATCAAAACTGATTCCAATGTCAGGTGGATGGCGTTGCCATGCAAAAACATCAACATAGCAACGATAGCCAGATCAATCCTTAGTTATCCATGTTAAGGATTAGCCAAGACAAGTTGCTTTAAATGTTGTTGATATTATTTACCTTCATTGTGGATAATATCATTACTGAATTCATTTTTATTCTGAAAACACTAACAGTTCAAGAAATTCTAGACAAAGTCCTAAACAGACTTAGATGCTAGTAAGATTATAACATAATTAATATTTATTGTGTATTTACTTTGTGCCAAGTACTGTTCTAGGCCCTTTACAAAGGGTATTTCTTTTAATCCTAATTATTAGATATTATCATGTAACAGTAGCATGGGTGTTCAAACTCAAGTTCAACCTGGCTCTAAAACTCTCTATGATTTTGAAAATTTGCATTTATTTATTCAGCCAATGTTTACATAGCACTTATTAAATTCCTGTCACTGTTCTAAGTGCTCTACACATATTAACTCATTTAATTCTCATGTCAACCTTATCAGTAGGTACTATTATAACCTTTATTCCCATTTTGCAGAAAATGAAATTGACATCAAAGAGATTAAATAATTTCCCCAGGAAGTGATAGAGCTGAGATTCCTACCTAGGGAATCTGGCTCTAGAGTCCATGCTTTAACCACTATACTACACTGTCTTTTTAATTAAACCATTTAATTAACTAACATTTATTAGGTGGATATATTTTTTTAATTTCACAAATTATAGGCTACATAGAATTCACAGATTTTGCAAACTTGGAATGATCTGTTTATCTGTTACTAAGTGAAGATCTGAAAGATGATGTAATCAACACACAACAAAGAATGACAAACAGGGAAGTCCTGAGATTGTGACTTCTCAAGATATCTGACACATCAACATCGAAATAGAAATTTTAAAATGTATATCAAGGAATAATATTTGTTTTTCTTCTCAGTTGTGATCCATTACTCTTTAGCTTTCTTATCATTGACAATCCTCCCTTGGGTCTACTTCTTACCACAATTAAGACAAAATGAAGGTAGGGCTAAAATGTCCACAACAGACATGCTTAAGAAGAGTTGTTGAAATATTAATAACATCTAAGAAGCCAATATGTGAAGGACAAGTCATAATTCCTTTGGAAATGTAAATAAAACCTAAATTGATTTAGAGAGTTGAGATATCTTTGAATATTTCAGACATTTATTCCAACAAAAAATTAATTTAAAAATTAAATCCATATTTTTTCATCTTTTTTAATAATACATTTTAGATAGAAAACTTTCCACCAAAAATCACATTTGTGCATTAAATGCTTAGTACGTTCAGATAGCATAGATTGGAAGTCCCCTTAAGACTATCTCCCTATGTTTATTGATCAATGAAAGTGGTCTTTTTGACCTGAATTCTTCAGCTTTTGCCTTGTTTCCCCAATATTTGCAGGTATGAATATAACCATAAAGTGATATCATAAAGTAATTTACCAGTGTGACCTTTAAAAAAGATTCTTGTGATTTAAGAGATATTAAAGCCAGCTAGAGGATCTTGCTGTTTCATGAAGCTCAACACAATACGATAATGATGATAATTATCTTAGGAACTACAATCTGAAAAAGTAGGAATTTATTTTTACAGTCAATGGATTTATACATATGTATGGGTAGAATAAAGCCAAGCGTTAAAAGCTTCAGTTTTTGGAGAGCAGTCTAGAGATGGTATTTCTTCCTTATTAGCTAAATTTTTGACCGATCACTTTTCATTTTACAACTCTCCTGCCTCCACCCCTTGGAGACTCTAGAGCCAGGGTCTTACCTGAGTTTCACTTTACTTTCATAGGTGTGTGCCTCTCCAGTTGCCACTGCATTGGCAACAGATGGTGGTGGTCCACAGGACAGGGGCTCACAGACTGGATAAGGCTGGCTCCAAGTCCCTTTCTCTGTACAAATCAGATCTGAACTGCCTTGTATGACATAACCAGGTCTGCAGTTGTAAGTTATCACATTTTCCTCTAAAGAGTCACTCTCACTGATGAATGCATTTGGTATCATTGGGAGAGAACCACAAGAAGCGTGTTCACAGCGTGGGAAGCCAGAGCTCCACTGGCCATTGGTTTCACAGGTGATTTCAGAAAGGCCCAGGAGCTTGAAGCCTTTGAAGCACTGAATCTGGGTTGCCTTTCCACAGTCAAAATCTGTCCCGTTGACAGCTCCATTTTGAATTACTGGTGTGGAACACCTGCAAGGCTGGCAGGAAGGTGGGCTGCCACTCCAGGAGCCATTGGAGAGACATTTTCTTGAAGGACTTCCATGGAGCTTATAACCGGGAAAGCACTGATACTGTATATGGCCTCCATGATAAAAGGAAAAGCCATTAGGGAAGCCATGGGCAAGATCTTCTGGAGGTCCACAGTTGACTGGTTTACAGAGAGGAACCTCTGCATTCCAGGTCCCATCTGACTGACAGGTGAGTTTTGGAGCACCATGCAACACGTAGCCCTCCTGACAGTGGAACATCACTTCCTTCCCGAAGCCATAGTCCAGGCCATCCATCACCCCATTTGCCACCTGTGGTGGGGTGGTACATCTGACAGGCACACACATGGGAGTGGCTCCACTCCAACTTCCATTGGCAAGACAAACATGACTCCTGGCTCCCTCAAGTAAGAACCCTACATTGCAAGCGTACTCAATCTCTTTTTGGAATGTATACTCGTCTCCTTTCACCTGGCCATTGGCTAAGATTGGGGGTGAACCACAGTCCACAGGAATGCAAGTTGGCTCACTCTCATCCCAATTTTTATTTTCTTGGCATGTTCTCCTCTCAGTGCCATTCAACACATACCCAGAATTACACTCATAATACAACACGCTCAGGTATGTGTAGTTGCTTCCTTTGATGGAGCCATTCATAACCGGATTTGGTTTTTTGCATGAAATGGCCTCACAGTGTGGGGAAGTACCACTCCACTCTCTATTTTGTAGACAAAGTCTTATGTCAGAGCCCACCAGAACGTGTCCTGGTTTGCAGCTATATTTTGCAGCGCTGCCCATGGTAGTCTCCGTAAAATGCAAAAAGCCATTTTCAGGAGCAACGGGCAAGTCACATTCAATTGAAATGCAGGATGGTGCACTGCCATTCCAAGTTCCATCTTCCTGGCAGATCAGCATAGGGTTCCCCAAAAGTTCATATCCTGGATTACAGGTGTATGAAACCATGGTGCCATACAGAAAGTTTGCTGATTGTGTAGCAGGAGATCCCTTTGTGTTTTTCCCGGTTTTAGCCACTGCTCCCAGAGGATGAGGAGGGTGAGGAGTCAGATATGGAACTTCCATTGTGTCTTCTTCTTGGTCAAAATACGCCTGACCATCTTTGACCTTAGTACAGTCTCCAAAATCAATGTGAGGTGGGAGACCACAGTCTACAGGTACACACGTTGGGATGGAGCTTGACCATCCTGACTCTTCACAGGTCTGCATGGCATGACCAGCTACCTGGAACCCAGGGATGCAGCTGTAGATGATCATGGCACCATAGCTGTAATCTGCACCTTCTACAAAACCATTTTCAATGGGTTGTGGGGGATTACAGTGGATGGCATTGCAAGATGGGACATCCACATCCCAATTACCTGTCTCCAAACAAGTCAAGGCTTTGGGACCTTCAAGCCTGAAGCCTCGGTCACAAGAGTATGTAATGGTTTGCCCATAGTGTAGGTTTGTGTAAGACAATTTGCCATGCAAAATCTCCTTGGGCTTTCGGCACTCAATGGGTTTACATGTTGGTTTTCCTCCAAGCCAGTGACCATTTTCTCCACAAAGAGTGGTAGTATTTCCTACCAACTCAAAGCCTGGCTTGCAGGTATACAGAGCTGTGCTGAGATAGGCAAGACCTTGCACATCAATGATGCCATTGAGGATTTCTTCAGGTTGGGGGCATTCTACTGGAACACATTCTGGCAGTGGTGAGCTCCAGGTACCATCAGCTTGGCAGAAAGTGGTAGGATCTCCTCTTAGGAAAAACCCATCCACGCAAGAATACTTGACAGTACTTCCGAAATGAAGAGCAGAAGAAGGTGCAGGAACACCAAAGGAAATTAGGGGAGGTGGGAGACAAAGAACCATCTGACAAACAGGAAAAGAATCATTCCATTGCTGGGATGGCAAGCATTTCAGGACAGAGGGGCCCTGTAGAGCATGCCCTTCTTTACAGGAAAACATCACCACTCCCACCTCAGTAGTCAACTCCTTCAATACGAGCTGGTTTTCCAGGAGGGGCGGCTCTGGGCATTTGGTGGGCACACACTTTTGGTTTGGCTTCTTATTCCATTTGCCAGATTTCAGGCATGTCCAAGAACTATCACCAATAAGCTCATAACCCTCATTACAGAAAAACTGAACCTTGGACCCTACTTCAAAATTTTCTCCTTTCATGTAGCCATTCTGGATTGGAGCAGGTTTTCCACAGTTGAGAGGGATGCACGACAGAGGGGATTCACTGTGCCAGTGGCGATTGGCTTGGCAGACAAATACAAGACTTCCAACCGACTTATAGCCTGGATTACACCGATACCTCACTTCACTCTCAAAGATCCTGCCAGTTGCATGCTGCATAATAGGGAGAAAACAATTAAGTACAATTTGTATAACAGATAATATAATTAACTAAATGCATTATATAGTATTAATTAAGAATTAAGCTAACATGTCTACATTAAAATGAATCAATTAAGACATAAGCAAATGAAGATTTATGTTTTTTCCAATAGGTCTACTCTATTTTTTTCAATAAGTGAAAGGGACAGTAGGAAGTCAATTAGGTAATCTTACTGCAGAAATGTTGACCACAGTGCTGAGCCCACAATAAGTAAAAGATCAATAGTCTCTAAGTTGATTGATAAATTGATGGAGTGATACCAAAAATTAGAAATTACTTGGTAAGTTCAAAAAAAATCTTGCTGACCAATGCAACGACATGGTTTGTTGTTTTAATCACAGAAAAGGAAACACACACACAAACGTACATTTATTTGTTAATGTTGTTTTATAATAAAAAAAGCACATAAAATATTTTTCATGGATATGGTCCTAAGAGTTTTATCAGAGTCTTGTGTTCATTCTTAACATAATTTTGGAAAAATGCTGGTATAACATCAAGATGGTAAATAAAAAGCAATATTTTATCTTTTAAACAAAAAATTTGGTATTATGATCTCAAAATTCAAATAAATAAGTGATTAATATAATAAAAGGTCATTTTTAGGCAGTACACAAAGTGAATTAGTTATGAAAACTTTAAAAAGATTACCATGTTTCTTTGTTAGTGATAACGGTAAAGTCTAGCTTCCGTGCTGCAGTGACTTCTCGGTATTCGGACATATTATTTGTTTTGTTTACTGATTTATTGGTTGGGTACCCCACATGCATGTAAGCACCATGCCATCACAGACCTGACCTGTATTGTTAAATACTAGATCTCCAGTGCTTACCTGGCACCTAGTAGGAGCTTCAGAAACGTTTGTTAAATGAATGAATAAAAAAAGCCTCCTTACAGAAACTATATACCCTCTTCCAATGGAAAGCTAACACATCTGAGAAAAGTCTTAAATAAAAGGCATTTACTGTTTTGTTATTGTTGTTGAATATAAAGGAGAAAGGTATCATATATGTGTGGGTTTTTAAAAAGTGTTTAAGTAGAACACTGTCTATTTAAAATGGCCCTTGATTTGGGGCAATAGATTCTCATTCTGGTTTTCTGGATGGATTTAAGGAGAAGACACCTGTTAGCGTCAAAGCAGGGCATGTGCGGGTCTGACTCTATCCTTTGTCCATCAGGGTGAAATTACCTTTAAGTCCACTAAATGAAGATCACAAAAACCGCATCATAATGAATTGATGGTTAACCTCATCTTTTGTCTAAAAAGTAGAAACAATCATAGATTTCTCTAGGTTCTATTGAGACCTTGATTTTTATAAAAAGTATACATCCATCTTGGAATAACTTATTTGATAAAGCAAAATAGTATTTAATTAAAATTGGTTTATTCCAACTTAATAACTACGAAGGGCTAAGATATTGCTACAAAGTGCTTCGAGTGTCTATATGCTAGAAGAATGTAGAAAGCTAAAACATTAAAAGGATTCATAATCTCTATCAAATTTTCTCCAATGTTCACTACCTCTAGATTTAGCCACTTCTGTTTTCAACAATTAGTCTGCTCACTGCCTCTGCTTCTGGATCCCCGATTAGCCACAATGGGCCCTGTAAGTGATGAAAGCCATGGATCACTTGCCAATCATCTCTTACCTCCAGAAGGGCATTCTCAACCTTAGGCGGTTCATTGCAAGATACAGGGTGGCATGTGGGTGTGGGGCTACTCCACTGTCCCGTGGCTTCACAGGTACTCTTCTTTTCCCCTTTGACATAGAACCCCTTGTTGCAGCTATAAGCCACCATGGCCCCAAAACTGTAGTTTGATCCACTTGCATAGCCATTCATGATGCTCGGTGGCTCTCCGCAGCGCACGGGGATGCACTGGATGGACAAGGGGGAAGGGTTCCACAGCCCACCTCTCATACATTCAATCTTTGCTGAGGTGTTCAGTACGAAACCTTCCATGCATTTGAAGCTTACAACTGAGCCTGCTGCAAATTTTGCTTTGCTCACAGATTCCAAAATGCTGTAGGAAACAGATGGGGGTTTTTCACAGAAATGAGCTATACAACGGGGCATGTCTTGACCTTCTGGAGGAACCCACTTGCCCTGGGCATTGCAGAGGAGCTGGGAATTGTCTGCCAGGCTGTAACCATCTGAGCAGTAGTAGAATGCAATGTCTCCAAATAACCGATGGGCAGTCTCTGGAGAGGCGTGTTCCACGTTGGGGGGCTCATCACAGGAGACAGCCAGGCACTGTTGGTTACTTCCACTCCACTCGCCACTGGCCAGGCATTCAATGATGTCAGGACCAGCAAGGGTGTAGCTATGAGATGAGAAGGAAAGAAACAAGAACTAAGGATAATATTTGAGAAAAGGTCTTTGCATCTTCCTATTTTGCTTTTATTTTTTTATCTGTCCAACAATGACTTTACTTTTATTCTTTAAAATAATATTTATTATTTGACTATTGAGCTTATGGATCAAATGACTTTCATCTGAGTTACAGAAATACATCTTGATATTGATATTAATGCTTATTCAGAAAGGGAAGTGGATTTAAGATTTTTGCTATTTAAGGAACTCAAAAACTTGTTACACATTTCTTTAAAAATAAAAAATGAAGAGTAAGCTATGGTCCTGTTTGACTCAATTCAAAATTGGAACCTCATCTGTCTTCAGATGGTTTTAGTTGGTTGATTTTATCACTAGTCTTTGAAACACAATCTCTGATGCGCCGTATGTAGCCTACATAGAGCTCACAGTTATACTTACTTATATTCAATGAACTTTAAAGCAGCAATTATAATTTCATTTCTAATGTTTCCTAAACCCTTAACCACGTGGTTAGTGTTAAAAGCTGTGTTCTGCATATGGCTCTGCTATTCAACCAGTATGAATAAATTGTGCTTAACAACTCTCAGTCTTTTTTTATGTACAAGGTGTTTTCCCATATATGATGACAGCTTGATGATTTGAAAAAATCTTACTCTCAAATGCTCTCTCAATGAAGTAGAACAAAATATTAGGATATGCAGTATTAGAATAATTACTGTTGAGTCATTCTTATTTTCCTTCTCACTTTTTTACTGAAGAGAAAGATGACGGAGAATTTTAAAGGAATGTCTAACACCAGATCAGTCTGCCATTTTGACACTAATAAACGGCAAGGGGACTAAATAATTTGGCACCTAATTCAATCCTGTTTAGACATATTAATTTCTTCATTTTACAGATGAGTGAAGGGTGGTTCAGACAGGCTAAGAAACCCGCCTAGAGTCACACGGCTGCAAGCAGCAGAGTCAGGATCATTTATTGGATTTCAACACTTACACATTTTCCACGACATCACTCTGTCTGTCTACCTCTCTCTTTTTACAATGAGTAGGTTAGACCACAATTTGTGGGGGTCTTGCGGAAGCTGTGCTGCAGTATTGCAGTGTCGCGAGTACAAATTATTCAACCCACCCTTCATTCAGCAAAGATTCTGAAGTCATTAGTTAGCAAACAGTTCTCCTGAGGTCTCTTTTAGTTTTATAAGGAACCAGCTATTATAGAGAGGTTGGAATTCCTTCACCCTCGCTGACAAGACTTATAAAATCTATAGGAAACAGAGAGATCAAGGAATGACAATAGTGCATCAGCAGAGATGTGTGCATCCGTACATTATGCTATGGACAGAAGTGGTCTCAAAAGGAATCATAGATGTCTCTGATAGCTGAGTGCAGTTTCCAGGTAGGGTCTGCTGCGGTTCACTGTTGCAGATAACCTCAGTTCTTTGTATAAGATCTGAGCTTAACAAATTTTTAGACATCTTCTGTCTTAGAGGATCCAGGAAGGTATACAAAGACAATGTTAAAAGCATAATTTTATTACTAAAAAACCCCTTATCCTAGGTCTGAATGCCCAGTTTCTACTATTCCTGCATAGCATGTGCTCTGGATGGAAGTTCCATTTGGAGAGACTCCTGATGTTTTATATTCTTATAGCACAATTTAGATCCTCTGCACACTCGGAACCATGCATCATTATTGTCACGAGTCCCTTGATGTTGCTAGCATATTTCATTGGCTGAAGTTCACAGATACCACCTGAGACATCCCTGATTTATTAGAATCCATTGTGCCATCTATAAAACGCTTCCTTTATTTCAAGGGACCAGCTGCTTGGAGGCAGAATCATCTGCTTCTAGAAACTTCCTTATTCCTCAAAGCCTCTTGAAGACGCAAAAACTGTATTTTGTAATTTGGCAGCACTTTGTTAGGCCTCTGACCTCTGATCTTCTGGAAAATCTCCACCACTATTCCTCCCTAATGGAAAATCACAGCAAAGCTCTTCTGTAATATTATGGAAGATTACCACTAAATACATGTATTTTGAGTAAATGAATTTAAAGAATGTATCTTTGATACTACCAAGAATTTCCTAGAATCTACATTATCCCTTTCTCTCACCTAAGATCTTGATTTTTCTTTATGTCTTTCAATCAACATCTAGTCCTTCACTAAATAATTCTTAAGGGCCATGCTCTGTGCTCGAGCCACTTCCTTAGGGCACGATGCAATGCCAACGCATTTACTTGTTTTCATGTCTGTGTCCACCCCACCATCCCCCCACCCCCACTACCTGGTGCACTGTAGGCCCCTTCACACCTAGAGTGGTTGCTTACTGTTGAAATGATTGATTCTACCTGAAGAGTGGGAAGGGAAGGAAAGGCTTCCCAGAGGAAATGGCTTTTGAGGCGAGTCATGAGAGAAGTGGAAAAGGACTCATTCAACGCAGAAAAGTAACATGAGCAAAGAAGTGTTATAGAGCTGGGGCATTCTGGGAACTTACAAATAGTTAGGAACGGCCTATGAACACCTGAGAAAGGAAGTGACAATCACTAGGATCTTGTGTGTTTTGGACAGGTTGTGATGTTTGGTGGGTGAAGATGTGGCAGGCACAGATTACCCGGAAATGGTTGTTGACAGTTCCTTTGACAAGGACTCTCATAAGATTTTAGCAGACAAAATGTCGCTAGAACAGAATATATTTAAGTGGTTTATTAACTGGATGATCCAAAGAGTATTGATTAATAGAAGTAAGCTAGTTGGGAGTTTCATATCTTGTAAATGCAACAAAACTCTGTCCTTAGTCCAAACGTCCATCAGTTTGTAGGCAACACATAGGGTGGGGAATAAGGGCTTTTATAGGCCAGTTCAATATTTCTAATCCTACAAGGTAATATTTAACAAAGATAAATGTAAGGTCCTGCACATAGATAATAAGAAGAAAAAATTGCACAAATAAAAAACCTGGCTCAGTGGCAGCCAATGTGAAAGAATTTCATTGAATGTAAACTGAGTGAGTCAATGGTGACATTCTTAATCGAGTTACTGCATTTCTAGAAACTCCTTTGTCCAAAAAGAAAAGAGGAGAAATGTGGCAGTGCCTAGATTTGGCATTTTTATCTCTGTGTAACTATATTCTAATTTGCATGTGTCAGTATGCATTCAGCTCTGGGTATCCCAATGCAAAAAGGGCTATAGACCTATTAGAATAGGCCCAGAGGAGAGTGACTCTAAGAGTGAACAGACTTGGAATCATGTTCACTAACGAGAAAGAGAAGTGCAGATTGGAGGTTGAGCTGGCTGAAACATGTGTCTCCCCACACCTTCATTTCCAAAGCTGCAAGCTTGGCATCCTAGCCAGAGTGAGGATCATTTCTCAGTCATGGAAATGTGTGAAGGGGCTGGGGTCCCTTACTGAAGCCTCTCAATTAGCTCTAACGATCCATCTGTAGGAGAACCTTGGGACCAGGCTATCAGTACTTGAATGGCTGGCATTTTGGAGGTGCAGAGAAATTGACACGGAGTGGCTTTAAGGGATGGAACTAAAGCTAGTGCTTTAGACTAGATAACATAGTCAATGAGGATGGGGATAGAGGTTTTTCAAAAATAACTATCTTCTAAAATACATCAGTTAGTCTTTTAAGATGCTAAAGAAAGATATATTTTCTGAATGATAAAAAAAGAGGAATTAACTGTCAGCTATTGCCTAGATAGAACTATAACTGGTCTCTGATCAAATTGCTGCACCATTTCATTATGCTAGAAGCCTGACTGTGTGTTAAGATTTCTGGGAGACATGTTTCACCTGGTTATTTGTTTAAAAGAATTATTTAAAAAATGATGAAGTTTTCTACAGATGATGACATATGTCCTATAAATGCTGGCCACCAAAGCAGGAAAGATTGGAATTGGTACCAATCTAAAATGCTGGGATATTTAGTTTTAGTCCATGTGATATTTTGTATTCTCATTCAAGAGACAGTGGGGACATTCTTGCAGACTGTTATTTAAAACCAAGCTATACAAATTATAAAACAAATTGTTTTGCTCCATAATTCCAAGGAAAAATGACCCATCAATGTTACAGTGAGGCCACAGAAGGACACACTTTAGGAGAAATTGGCTGTAATACATTAGCATATTTCTGGAATAATAACAACAAATCCTTTGAAAATGGACAGAGTAATCTTCAGATGTAATTTCCAGTGATTTGATTCACACACCGAGGGGAAGCCTACTAATGAGCATGTGCCTGGGAAGCTTTATGAGAGAGCTCCATGTGGGTTATTAGCTCTTCTCTTTTTAGAAGAAGAAAGCACGTTACAAGAGCCTTAAAAGAGCAGCATATTTAAAGAGCTGCAATTTAATAAGAGCAATAGAAAGTATAAATCTGCATCAGTAATTAATTCTTTTTTTTTTTTTGGTGAGGAGATCAGCCCTGTGCTAACATCTGCCGATCCTCCTCTTTTTTATTTTTATTTTTTTTGGCTGAGGAAGACTGACCCTGGGCTAACGTCCGTGCCCATCTTCCTCCACTTTATACGGGATGCCGCCACAGCATGGCTTGCCAAGCAGTGCCTCGGTGCGTGCCTGGGATCCGAACCGGCGAACCCCGGGCCACTGCAGCAGAGCGCGTGCAGTTAACCGCTTGCAACACCGGGCCGGCCCCTAATTCTGTTTTCAATTAAAACCTATCATCAAAAATTTTACCTTAGCATATTCAGCAATTGCATTTAAAAGTCTATATTCGAGAAGAATCAAAAGGTAAACATTCTATTAGGATTTTAGGATGTCAATGACCCTTATTTCCCTCTGAGTTTCTCATCAAGAGAATATACACATAAGGATGAAAAGGAAAATGGGAAACAAGTGACCATTTTGTTAATTTGTGCAAACAGCTGAAAACCCCCAGTGCAAGGTTTTGATAAAAGGTGAATTTGGAAGGCCAAGTTTAGGGCAGAAGACAGAAATGAGGCTTCTTGCTTCTCTCCTTCCCTGGCATTCATCTTACTATGCCAGTTCCTAAAGTATCTGCTCCTCCATCCTAAACTTGAGAGTGGATCTTTCCTCCTTAACTCAAGGAAAGGCCGGCTCAAAGCACAACATCAGTAGAAGAATTAAAAACAGTGAGACCGAAGCAAGACTGCGTGTATGTGCATGCAATAAGCAGGCCTGGGTGGCTGACACGGTGTGCAGGGCAGTGGCCTGTGTCAAGCAGCCCCGAGGGAGAAGACGGAGCTGAGAAGGTTAGAGAGGGAAACAGGCTCTACCCTCTTATCAGGCCAACAGTATCCTAGGAAGTGGAAGGAGACAGCAGGACAGGCCCCATTACACAGAAGCCATGACTTGAACACAGTGCCGCCATCCTCGCACAGAACAACACAGTGCCTGCTGACCTACGCCCATCAATCCCCTGGAGGAAGAGAGAGAAAAGGGGTGAGGAGAGAGAGAAGGGTAAGAACTGACTTCTAGTTCTGGCTGTAACATAGTCTGAAAGCCCTCCCTATATGGAACTTGATGAACTATAACAAAAATGACTTTAAATGCACAGCTGAGCTGATAGAAAAGGAAATCTCCACGAGCCAGAAATGAAGAGGAAATTAAAAGAGAAAAGTAAGCCTGAGAATGAATGCTGTGTTTGCCCTTGGATTGAACAGGGAAGGGAAGAAGACAGGACACGAAATATAGCCTTGGAGTTGACATAGAGAGTAATGGCTGAGTCTCTGGCATGAGTCTCTGGCATGAGTCTAGTCCTAGAGTTCATTCGAGGAAAGGATATTTGCTAGAAACACTCCATCTGGCGGCACAGTGAGATGATAAGTGAGATCTCTGTGTTTGTCAGGCTCTGGGAGGAAAAACAAAGTACCTGGTAAGGTATCTAACCTCACATGGATTTGAGGTTAGAATTTATACCACTCATTTTGTACATAAAGCCTTCAAACTGATAGAAAGAAATGTAAAATTATGATCTTGCTGGTGATACTCCTGGGGCTCCTGGTAGAAAAAATAATCCAAGCCCTCAGGCTATAAGGGGCTGCCATAAATAAAGCAAGCCTTGTATACTGTAAGAACACAACCTGAAATTATTAAATATACACAAGCATGTTCTCCATCATGAATGAGTCAGCAGACAGAACAAACAGCAAGATTAGAGCACCAATACATTGAGATAATAGAAAAAAAGGTCTAAAAGTATGTTGAAATCATTAAGGACAGAAAGAAAGACTCAAAATCCTATTTAAAAAGAAGAGACTAGGGGCCGGCCCCGTGGCGTAGCAGTTAAGTGCGCGCTCCGCTGCTGGTGGCCCGGGTTCAGATCCCAGCTGCGCAGTGATACACCGCTTGTCCGGCCATGCTGAGGCGGCGTCCCACATACAGCAACTAGAAAGATGTGCAACTATGACATACAACTATCTACTGGGGCTTTGGGGAGAAAAAGGGAAAAAAAGGAGGAGGATTGGCAATAGACGTTAGCTCAGGGCTGATCTTTCTCACACACACACACAAAAAAAGTGGAGGAAGATAGGAACAGATGTTAGCCCAGGGCCAGGCTTCCTCAGCAAAAAGAGGAGGACTGGCAATAGATGTTAACTCAGAGCCGGTCTTCCTCAGCAAAAAGAGGAGGATTAGCATGGATGTTAGCTCAGGGCTGATCTTCCTCACCAAAAAAAAAAAAAAAAAGAAAAAAAAAAGAAGAGACTATGTAAAAAAGAAATATTTGGAAAAAACCATAAATTATAAAAATAAAAATATAGGAAATAGCAATTCGAAAAACTAATGGACAAATTTAAAAGCAGATTAGATAGGAGAAAGAAAAATTAGTGAACAGGAAGATATGAAGAAATTACGCAAATGCAACCCAAGTTTATAAAAGGATAGAAAATGTGGCAGGTTAATAGATATGGAGAATAGAAATAAAAGGTACAATACAGATCTAATAAGACTTACAGAAAGAGAGAAAAGAGAAAGTGAAAAGGAGGAAATATTTGAAATGATAATGGTTGAGAATATTCTAAAATTGGTGAAAAATACGAATTCTCAGCTGTAGGAAGTGTAATGAGGCCTGAACAAGATGAACGACGATAATACACCATTAGTCATATCACAGAGAAAGACCAAACAACAAAGACAAATTTTAAAAAATAACCAAAGGGAAAAGACGTTACTTATAGAGGGACAATAAGTGACCAGATTTTCTCAATCTCAGCACTACTAACATTTTGGACTAGACAACTCTTTGTTGTGGGGGGCTGTCCTGTGCATTATAGGATATTTAGCAGTATCTCTGGACTCTATCCGCCAAATGCTAGTAGTGTTTTTCCTCCCCCCATTCCCCCACCCCCCGACTGTGACCATCAGAAATGTCTCCAGACACTGCCAAACGTCCCTGGAGGGCAATACTGCCCCTGGTGGAGAAGCATGAAATTAGACTGATGATGCAATTCTCAATAGCAACATTAGAAGTCATAAAGCAAGGGAATAACATCTTCAAAATGTTTATGGAAAAAAAAAACTATTAACGTAAACTATTAACATAGAAGGGAGCATGTGATATAATTCACGTGAAAGTTCTTTGAAGAATGTAAGACCCTCTACAAATGTATGGATTTGTTGTAATTTTCATTATTGCCTTTATTGCTTCCTTTAATAAATCTCTTTGGTATAATATATAGACTTAATATTAGGCAGACACAGAACTTATGATATGTCATAAATGAATGACTTGTGAGGAAAAGAAGAAAAATGTAAATTTGTATATAGAGTGTGATCTTTAATATTAAAAAATATGTGTCAAGACAAAATTCTAGGAAGAAATATAGTAAAATATCACCAACGTTTATCTTTGGGTGATTTCTTAAAATATATTTTTTATTTTCTAGTTTTATATGGTGATAATACATTACTTTTTTAATCAGAAAAAAATCCAGAAGTCGTCAATATCTAATTATTATTTGGAACATTTATATTTGATAAGATCTCACAAACACTTAAATGACTAATCTTAAAAATAGTCGTATGCAGTTCATTAGGAAGTGGTTTTTAAATGAGTCAATCCACAGGGGAGAGACGCAGCCATCAAAAGCTAATTCCTGCACTGATATTTTAATATTAAAGATTTCTTTTTCACTTAAGGTGTTAAGATTTGGGATTTCTGTCAGCTATTTATGCAGGTGTTTGACTCAAGATCTATTTGCAGGAAAATATTGTCGCCACCTGCTGGCAGTCCTGTAATAGTAGACACACGGTCTTCTATCCTGGGTGAAATGAACTTCAACTTCAAAGATATTACAGAAACTGTGTCTTCTCTTCTGTGCTCCAATCATCATACTAATGGCAGAGTTTGTTGAGTTTATTATTTTCGGTCTAGTCCATCATTATATCATTTTATTCCTCATAATATCCATAAGAAGTACGAACCTTTAATGAACTCATTTTATGTCGGAAGACAATCAAAGCACAGAGAGGTTATATCACTTTCCCAAGGCCACGCAGTTAGCGATTGACAGAGCTGAGATACAACTCCAGAAAACGGCAATCCCTCTGCTATTGCTGCTTCCAACTGTGCGAAAAGCAAGTGTGGTAAATCCACAGTGTGAAAGCACTGTTACTAGTGACGATATTTACGGAGGAAGCATGGAAAAAAAATAAGCAATGAAATATCTATCAGACGACCTGGGATTTAATCACCCCTCGGTTTTTTATTGCCTGCCTGGGACCCTGAACAGATCACCAGCCCAGAGTGAGCCTCTCTCTGCTCTGTAACTCACAGGGTTTTCACGAGGATCAAACGAGACAAGGAGTGTCAAAGCACTTCGTAATCTGCTTCCAGGTTTTACAAATTTTATCTCTGAATTAAATGAGAGTATTAAAAACATAAAAATCTGAACTTTATCTTTTTTCCTGCAGACATGTCACCTTTATGTTGTGACTTGAAGTCTTGCCTTTGGTTTTGCAGAGGGTAAATCCACAAATGCCTATTTAAATGTGCCTTTTGCATCTTTAATTAAAATACAAAGATATTTTCCATTGCGTTGTCCAATGTCTGTTATTCAAGGCCTCATTTGATAAATTACTCTAATTTCAGGAAAACACTGTTCCCCCAGGAGAATATGCTCCCTTTCTGCTGTCAGAAAGCAAGAGTATAAAGCTCTCTTTGACTTTGGCTGCCGGGAAATTGAATTTCGTATTCAGAGGAGCCCATGTCCACAGTCCAGGAGCATCCACTTCCAACGCTCCTTTCCTTCACAGGCTTTACTCACCCTTCTTTGCAAGTGTAAGTGACAGTGTTCCCAAACGTGAAGTTACTCCCAGTGATGACAGCATCTTTGATGGCCGGTGGCTCTCCACAGAAGACAAGATGACAGGTAGGTGGCGCTCTGTCCCAGCTGCCTGACGCGGAGCATTCAATGACGGAAGTGCCCTGTAAGCTACAGGAAAGAATGATGCCACTTCTTTTATTGGCTATTTATTTACTGCTACCGAGATGAGAAAGGAAGGACTTGGAAGTGACTAGGAGACACTTAAGGAATTTTAATACATAAAAATAAAGTTTCTTCCTGTTTTCCTGCTTTACATAAAAACAAGGGAAATCTGAGCAGGCTATAGACCATTTAAAACCATGAATACGCTAAAACAATATAACAATAACTCGGTGCAAAATACAATGGTTGAATGTGCTCATTGGTGGTGTTGTAGGGCACTCCAAACCTTGTGAACAGCAGATTACTTGGAGGAGAAGGGGTTACCAGGATGGTTAGGATCCAGTGACAAGGGAGAGAGACACCCAGGAAGTCAGCGTAACTGGGTCCAAGGGCACCGTCCTTAACATGAGCCTGGGATCTGAACTGTGCGGCTCATGACTCTGACCTCTGGTCTTCCTTTGATTTTACAACCTCAAATCCCTACATCATGGCTTCTCCACCTTTACTTGTCAACCTGATTCTGATTGTCTGTATTACTCACTCTGCTTTCTGTTCACTTGATCTGTTTCACTTCAGATCCTGTTGGCCAAGTTTCTGATCACAGCCTGACTCTCTCTACTGTCCCTTCTGTTTGCGCGTGCGCGCACACACATACACACACACACACACACACACACACACACCCATTAATCAAACTAACGTCTTACAGTACTAAGGACCCAGGCTCTTACCTGGATACGCTTTTTATAACATCCCATGTAACGCTGAGTATAAACTTGGTAAGTTGTTGACCGAAAAATCCAGGCACTGTGTTATGCTTCACAAACACTTGCTGCTTTCATGTTTAACGTCTGAATGTTGATAGCAATTGAACTAGAACTCCCAGAGTCCAAGTTAGATGGACTGTTTCCCTGGGCATTTACTATAAGCTAGTCTTCAGGAAGCACACAAATTTGAGAATATCTTTTACATGTAGAAACTTGTATTTAAAGTCAGCCAGTCACATGCAAATGAAACCTATTGAGTAAATAATGAGTAACAAGGTATTGTAGGAAGCGTGGCTGGTATCTCTGGACTTTACCTGTATCCACTCTCACACGAATACGATGCAGTAGAAAGGTAGGTAAGCCCACTTAAAATATATTTCCCATTATTTATGTTTTCAGGGCTAGAACACTTGACTAGTTCACACACAGGAGGAGAGTGACTCCAAGAACCGCTAGCAAGACAGGATGATTCTTTATCACCATCCAGAGTATATCCTTTATTACACCTGAAGAAGACAAAGGAAAATTATAGAATATAATTTGCTTTACTTTGCATAATTTTATCTGTGCCAAAACCTCCAAAAATATTGCAAATATACTCATATGGGAAGAATTCTTTTTTTTTCCTACTGAAATAATGCTTTAAAACTATTGTTTTTCAAGGGTGAATACTGTACATCTGTCCTATAGGGACCCTGCTGAGTGATAAGTAGAAGGATAGATTTAAGGATTTGGCTTGCCTCTGGTGTGTGTCATGGATTATAGCTGCAAATAAAATTCTTGGTTTGAGAGTGGTCTGGTCTAGGATAAGTCCCTGAAATATTGGCTTTGGAGTAAAAACTCCAGCTTATAATCAAGAATATTCATTAGCTTGCAGGGCCTCCCTGCATGGCATCCATTCTTAGAGCACTTCAAGGAGGTGCTGGTGGCAATAATAGGCTAAGGATTCTAGATATGACTACCATTAGATTATTGGATCAGATTTCTTCCCACTACACGTAATTCAATTAATTCCATATTAACTTAGAAACACCCTCTGCAATTACTCTTCCCCTTTTCTTCCAGTATTATATCACTGCCAGCATGTTATCAACAACTTCTACAACGTTGTTTTAATCCTAGACTCTTACCTATATATGACTGTATTGCCAAAGGTAAATGCTGATCCATCAATACCACCATTTTCTGGAATAGCTGGTGTACCACAGGAAACAGCTTAAAGGAGGAAAAACAAAAAGCATGGCTTTTCTTAGCTAACGAGTGCAAAAATCTCTAAAAGCTCAAGGGGCAGTTCTAGGTTTTCTTGTCATGTTTACATACGAGCCTAACAGTTGGGCTTTAAATACAAAGAATATTGATATTACACTTGACATTTCTACACCTTAAATTCTAGGATGGTCAAACCCCATAAACACGGGGAATTCACTAAACACACCTTCACAATACGGCATCAGATGACTCCATTCTCCAGACTCCAAACACGTGATTTTGGTCACTCCCATTAGCTGATGTCCTTCTTCACACGAAAATGTGACTTCAGCACCCACTGTATAAATCTCACCAGAAGAGCGGCCATTTTCTGGATTTCCTGGAGCCTTACATTTTATAGGTTCTTGAAAGAGAGAAACAGTTTTTGTGGGACAATAAATGGCTTTCACACAACCATGCAAGGTCTCACGACACTTAAGGTACCAAGTTAAATCCTGAGGAAGAATCTTTTGAAGAGAGATGCATGAAGTCCAGGGATACGTTGGACAATTAAACCAGAACACATATTTAACAGGCATTTAAACAACAGTAGTTTGAAACAGCAATGACTAACAAAAATATACAAAATTTATCTGGCCAGAAAGGGAATTGTTGATCGGGGAAGTAGTGGTGGTGCCAGGGCATAGCTTTGAAGGGCTACAGCCTCTCTTACTTCCCCCCACTTTCTAAGAGCAACTGGCTTTCTCTCAAGCTGATGTAAAGGTGTTACCAAAGCGCATTGAGGAGAAACTCGCAGCCTCGCATTCCAAACAGACTACGGATCATGAGCCCCTCCTACGTGCACATTTGGGAACAGTCACCACTTCTAGAAAGGGAAATAAGTTAAAGGGAGATTTAGGGTGAGAACTGAACAAAAGGAGTCAATAAATACTTGAATTCTCAAAAAGGGAAGATAATTGATTCAATCTTTCTCAAGATCATTTTGGCTATAAAAGTAAAGAACTTTAAATAAAACCTTCTCAGAAAGTAAATGGAATTATAAGACTGAATTTTGAGAATTCTTCTTTACTTTCTGTCTTATTGTTTTTGGTAGTTGCTCTCTCACAATAAATGTAGAAAGACATTGATGAGTTGAGAGATAAACCAGTATTTTCAAAGTTATTACAAAATATAGAGATGAGGTAAGGCAAGATGTCTATTTTTTTTCAATAATATAATTCTACGTGGCTGAGGCAGGGGAAAGATACTGACAGCGAAGATGTGATGAAGCATCTTCTTTGCTCTGATTGACGCGGTAGAGGTCATTGATCATATTTCTAAATCCACTCTATTATTCTTGTGCTACGTAGACATTTCATTCAACATTGCCGTGATATAGCTGAGTCTCAGTTTTGTTTTTCAGAAATTGGGAAGTTGGGAGAGGCACAATGCTACTTTAAAGCACCTTTAGTTGTTACTTATATGTCTTTATTAAGATGGTTTATCTTCTCCATCTCCTCTTTGAAGTTGAAAATACGGTCTTACTTTTAAATACCATACATTTGAAATATATACTTGAATTAAAAAGTTGAAATAGACTTCCCAATTATACATATACTAGTTACCTGCACAGTTTTTACCATCTCCTGTGTAGGGCGGGATACATGAGCAAATGTAGGATCCATTCGTATTCAGGCAGGAAGCATGCTCACTACAATCTGACCCAACGGCACATTCATCAACGTCTGAAATGAAGACAGTTTACACATAGTAAAGTTGACTGAGTTCTCCTATGTATCAAACATTTGTTTTTCCTTTTAAATCATTACATATCATTTAACATATAACAATGTAGTTATATATATTTTTATATTTATATAAAACTATATATTTTATAAAATTTATATATATTTTTATAAAATTTAAATATAACAGTCACAATCACATTGCAGATATACAATAAGATCTATTATTTCCTCCTGTTATAAGTGGGTAAGTAGAACAACAGAGATAGATAAAGATACTATTAAGCCTGGTAAAAATTTAAAATATTTTTGGCACTTGTGTGGACAGCTGCTTTGTTATTATGGCTTGCCCAGAGCTCACTTGGATGAGATGAAGTTAACAAAGGAATGCCACAAGAAAGCCTCAGGAATTTGGGATGATTGTCTCCCATGGAGCTAGAGTAAACCCACACGGTAATTGCCAAGATTGACCTCACCAAGGCATGATGGTGAAATGCCATTCCAGCTCCCATTATCTGTACAGAACATCCTTGAATCACCCAATAAATAGTAGCCATTGTTGCACTGGTAGGTCACGGTGCTGCCAGCATGAAAGTCCTCAGCTGAATAAAAGCCATTCTCCAAAGGGGGTGGCACCCCACAGCTAATGCCTGTAATGTGACAGGAAGAATACAACTACATTAGGAGCAAAACGCCCAAAGGACATTTTATTTAAACCAGTAGTTGAGTTAAAAATGAATCTTTCACTGCACACAAACATTAGATGGAAAGTGTTCTTGGGGTGGTAACAGGCTGTAGCCATACCTGTGCGCTCACCTTCTGGCATACTGCCTGGCTCATAGTAGGCATGCAATTCATTCACTTAAAAAACTATTTATGGAGGTCCTGCTACCTGCTAAACACTGTCCTAGGTGCTGAGGTTACAGTAACGAACCAAACAGACAGAATCCCTGCCTTGTGAAGCCTACTATCTAGTGGGAGTAGAGAGACAAGAAACAGATAAATATATATGTCATGTCAGGTGGGAATAGATGCTATGGAAAATTTCCCTGATCACCCTATCTACAATAGCAGTCTTGCTTCCACCCAACCCCCTCACTTTATATTCCCCTACTCTGCTTTATTTTTCTTCCTAGCCCTTACTTCTGGCCCTTGCTGTTCTTATTTACTATAATTAGTCGTTATTTTCTGCCTCTCCCACTAGAATATAAACTCCATAAGAAGAGAGACTTTTTTTCCAACTGCTGCATCTCCAGAACTTCAATCAGTGTCCAGCACATACTAGGTAATTTAAAAATTGTTGAATAAATGAATGAATGGATGCACCCAACTCAACAGATCTCTTCCTGCTCTTCCCACCAGCAATGACCCATCTCCCTTTGGGCTTCAGCCCCCAAGTCTGTCTTTCCCTCCCATCCAGTTCCTCGTGCCACCTGGCGTGCATTCATAGATGGGGTCTCTTTAGATCTGCATGGTCCACCTCCTTCATGGTGCCCAGCACAGCTCACTGCACAAAGGAGGTATTCAGTGACGATTTTCTACTGTGAAGTATCTAGCTTTTATCTAGCATTCCTCAAAAGTGTTCTTATGGTTCCAATACTTTTCAAGGGCTACTGAAATGCCTTCAAAAAAGGCAGCTCACGTTCACAGTGAGGGAGTGGGTGTGTCCACTGTCCTTGGTTCAGACAGTACTGCACAGGGTTGCCGACCATTTGGAAGCCTGGATCACAGAACAGACTGATTCTGGAGCCTGGCTTGAAGTTTGCCGATGCAGTTCGCAGATGAGGTACCAATCCTTCTAAAGGTGGGCAATCTGAGGGCAAAGAATACAGGTATGGAGTTTGTCAGCAACATAGTGGCGGCATCACCAGGTCAAGAGTTTCAAATCGTATGTTGAGAGCCACTCTACCGATATTAAAACAAGGCAACATGTAACCAGATCACTGGCAAGCGAGATTACTAGAAAAAACTATTTGAGTCAACAAACAACCTTCCCTCTTTCAGCAGAAGTCTGCTAAATATTTTTTAAGGAAAAAAAATAGTATTTTAGGAATATTAATGGAATATTCTCATAAGTTATCAAAACCCATGAGTTCTAGGACATCTTCAGAGACTTGCTTCAATACATTGGATTTTATGAGGCAGTTTTGATCACTCAGAGTTTGACTATTCAGTGTGTGGGCTGTAATGTCCACTGGTTTCCTCCCTGTGCTACCTGCCCCTGGATGGCTCCTACAAAGTCCAGGGCCAAGAGAGTAATCCATCTTAAAGAGGAGGATAGGACTTTGGTGGGCACTTAAAAAATTAGCCATATCCCTCCTGTCATCCTATTCTTATTTTACCTTTTTCAAAGTTTTCTCCACAGTTAATTTGTACCCCGTTATACAGAATGTATTTAAGTATTAAAAAAAAATAAATCCTTTGGATGAAGATAGAGTTAAAAAAGAATTACTAGTTAAACAATAGACTGACAGGCACACACTATTCGACCAATAGAGAATTTCAAAATGTCTCCTTTTGCTAGAAAACCCCAGAGTAGTCAAGAGACAGTAGAGTCTATGGAAGACAGAAACTCTAACCAGAACAGAATATGCTCTTGGAATCGATCTTCACTTTCCCCACAATTCCTGACAGGAAATCAGGCCAGGCTAACACGTTTCCTTTATTGAGTTCCTCTGGGCATGAGGTAGCCAGCGATTTCACCTGAAAGTTTAAAAACACATCTTTAGATAAACCTTACTTGTTTCAGGAAGACAGAGTTACTATATCTTCATTTAGTCCTATTGAAAACATTTGCAGATTTTGGGCGTGAGGGTGTGGAGGGAAGCAGGCTTTTGTATGATATGATTTCAGGGGCAACAAGAAAGTTCTCTTCCCTCTCTCTCTTCCACCCCCATCATTCACTTTCCCAAATATTTCATTCTGGCCGGAAATTCTGAAAATCTATGCATAGAATTTGCCTAAAGCTTTGCAATTTGCTAGGTCTTGTGGAGGTTCCCCTTCTCCATTCACCTGTCTTCTGTCTCTGATCTAGAGCTGAGGAACCTGTGGCTTAGACAAGATCTGCCACCATAATAATAAGAGCAAGCATTTATCAAAACTTTACTATGTACCAAAAATACCACGATTGTCCACGCAGTATTTTGTTCAATCCTGCCAAAACTCCACCATGTAGTTCTGTTCATTTATGTTTCATAGAAAAGAAAACCGAAGCTTAGAGAGATGGAGTAACATGTTCAAAATCATCACCGTGAGTTCAAGGTAGAACTGGCATTTGAACTCAGGCTGTGGAACTCCAGACTGGCTTTAACCATGAGCTCATCTGTAACTCTCTCTATACGATCTTGTGCCAGCCCTAAATTTCTGCATCTTTAGTCAGAGGGATTTGAAGTATTATTCTCTATGATTCTTTCTGGTTCCAAAATTACAAGATTTTATAAAATAATCCCATCCAATAAAATCTAAAAACATCACTAAGAAACTGAAAAGGAGATTCATTGCAAGTTACTGTAGATAACGTCTGCCTGGCTTAGTCTATGACCATAGCATCAAATGATACTGGTGATAAATTATGAAAACCCAGAGGTTGCAATAGGATAGGGCGTCATTATGCTGTTCACATTTTTACTAGGTTTGTACCTTTGCATCTCATTACTGTCATACACTGAAAATGGAATTGACCTGCTGTGGAGACAGGACATAGTCCCAGAGGTTGAGCTGGCTTATGGAGCCCACAAAAGACTCAGCTGGGTTGAATCCCTCTCCTTTTTTGTCTTGTTCTTGCCCAAGAACTAAGGCACCACCGCCTAAAGAGAGAAGGAGAGAACAAGGAGGAAAACTGGCCTGATTGTCTGTTATTCCTAAAACGCTAACTAAATGAAAAAGAACAGCCAATATCATTGTATTGGGGAAAATTATTGAAAAGCTAAATTATCTACATTTACTGCATGTTTTATCAATAAGGACAAATTCAATGTTTTACATAGCAACTTAAAAAATGGCTGGAGAGGATTTAGAATATTATATTGCATTTATAAATATTTAACTATAGAACTACATATATACATACATATGCATATACTATTTTATATCAACAAAATAATTAAGTCCTATTTTGCCTGCTTTCTTCTAGGAAATTACCCTCTATGATAGACCAACTGTAGCTGCTGTTCATTTTTTTTTATTCTTAAGCCTACAATGCTCAAATTTCTATCACCAATTCCAAGGAAGCTTCTAAAGTTGCCAGTGGCCACCTAATTGCCAAATCCAATGCAAACTCTTCGATATTCACCTCTGGTGACTTCTCTGTGTCACCTGTTTCCATTGACCATTTCATTCCATTAAAGTGTCCTTCCTGGTGTACTGGATGGTCTGTGTTTGCCCCTTAGAGCTACCTTCCACCCTTCTCCACTCTGCTTCGTGCCCCCAAAGTTAAATGAATTCCTTGCTCCTCTGGCTTTTGTTTGTGTCTGGCCAACGGAAGGACCAGCAGGAGGTAAGAAAGTGGAATGAGAGGAAAGTTTAATTTCCTGGATACCTTCCCACCAGGCAACAGATTGTCAGGCTGCTTTCTTCTACCTAACGTCATTGCTGCCGCTGGGTGATTTATCTCCATCACTACAGGTTTGCCTGAATTCTGGCAACAACTCCCATCCCTTATCACTTCAGGCCCTTCCTTTGTGACTTTCTATTGTTGCCAGTCATGAGCTGTTTCACTATCATATTTTGGTTCTCTTAACCCTGCCCACACCTTTGAAAATAGTCCCTTCATTCAACTCTCTTCAGTTACCCCCCTTATGTGTGCCACCTGTTTCCTGCCAGGACCCTGACTGATTCCACTTGGTTTCCACGAGAGCATCCTCTCCTGGTTCTCCTTGAACCTTTCTGCTCATTCTCAGTCTCCCCTCTGCCTGCCTCTCAGGTGCTGATGCACCTGGAACTCCACCCCAGCCTCCTCTCCTTTCCTTCAACTACTCTTTCCATCTGATCTCACTCACCTGACAATCGATGTCTGTAGAATGATTTCCCAATCTACATCTTCTTCTTATAAAATTAATGATGAAAGAGTAATACATGTACATGGAAGAAAATTTGAAAAAAATAAAGTATAAAGAATTCCTCTTACCCAGAAATAATCATTTAACAGTTTTGTGTATTTTCTTGTAGGTTTCATTTATATTTTTATTTTTTAGTATATGTGTACGTGTGTGTGAGAGATTTTAAAACACACAACTCAGGATCATACTATATATGATGTTTGGATCTTGCTTTTCTTCTTGAACATGTTCTCATTTCATGAGTTTTAATAGCTATTTTATTTTATCATGAATGTACAACAATCCATAATTTATTTAATTAACTAATTAAAAAACCACTTCTTATTGGATATTGGAGTTGTTTCGAAGTTTGGTACTAAAATAACACTGAGATAAATATACTGATACATAATATTTGTTCAGATCATTGATTATTTCCTTTAGATCGATTCCTGGTAGTTGAATTGTTGGTTGCATGCAAAGGATTTCTCTAAGGCTCTCGATGAAAGTTTCCAAATTGTACCCCAGAAAGGTTGTATCAATTTTCACACCTGCCAGCACTCTTCAAGAGTGTCCACCATGCTGAATCCTTGCCAATCCTACCTTATCACTAAAAACAACTTTGTGAATTTGATATAAAGTGGCATCGATCTATGTTTTTAGCTGTAGGTATTCCTGTGATTAGAATTCCAACAGAGATTTCAAACTCAATACGTCTAAAAGCAAATACAGAATCTTTCCCCACCTTTAACCCCTGCTCTGCTTAATTGTCCTTTCCCTAGAATTCCTACCTCAGCCAACAGACTCTTCAATAAATCTGATTACCCAAACTAAAGCCAATCATTCACTAAACTCTGTCAATTGGAGCTTTGCCATATTGATGGACTGTAATTCATTCTTACAGCTGTGGTTAGACAACCATCGTCTTGGTGGCTACTATTATAGCTTCCTTGTTTTATTTTCCTATTCCTTTAACCTACTTTTCACTCTTCTATCAGAGTTTAATTTTTTTGAAAGACAGAAATGCTCTTTTTTTTGCCATAAACAAAATATATGTTCATTATCAAAATAATAAAGAATTATTTTCTTTATTCTGTATTTCCATATTCTTCAGAAAAGAATAAAGAAGAAAATAAAAGCCACCTGCAATCCCACCACCCAGAGAAGAGACACTGAAAACAAGAACACTCTAAATTAAACACAAAAAGGAACCACTACCTGATAATGCTGCTTCCTGTTGAAACACTTTTAAAGTTTCCTTATTTACTACAGGGCACTGCCAACCATTCCTCCTCATATGACATATGCCATAGAAGGATCTAGATAGAGCAAGCTTATTGCACATACAATGCTGAGAACGCTGGGTTGCCTAATACTTTTGCATTCCTTCTAACTAAAACTCTCTGAATAATTTTTTAAAACTGTTTTTAGAAGAGAGTTTGAGGTCTACTAGAAAAAGGTCATAAAAATGGATAGCTATCAGCAGTGCTCCAGCCTCTATGCTGGATATACTCGTATGCTGTGTACACTTATCACAAAACAGAACCTACAACCTAAAACAAAACACACTAGCATTTCATCTCCTCCTTGGAAGGCAGTTCAGTAACCACCCATTGTTAGTTCAGCACGCTTCTTAGCAGTCTCAGTATAGATCCCCAAAGGCATTTCTTACACAGACAGTCACACAGCTCAACTAGGAGAAAGTTCCTAATAATTCACAGTCTGGATAATCAGGAGGTAGTAAATGGGAGATAACTGTTGATGTTTGTCTAAAACCAAAGACAACAAAGCTAGCAAACTCGATTTTCATCTAAGTACCATGACCTCTAGCATCTAACAGAATTATATTCCTTTTGCTAAGACATACCAGGTATGGCCGAACCAATAGAAAGGCCCACACCACCGTCAGATAATTTCCCATCAATATAGACTTTCCAGGCTCCATCAGTACTTGTCCAAGTGATTGCAATATGATGCCAGCTGCCATCATTCACGGCCGGACAGTCTGTTATCTTTTCCTTGCCATTCACATAAAGAACCCAGCTGCGGAGAGATTCCAGGGGATACAGTCATCAGTTATATGTCGTAATCCCATCTGTGGGGCATGTTACTACTTTTCTTCTTTTCCTTTTTTTGTGGGTAAATCACTTCGTGTAAACACATTACTTTTTTTCTCCATTTGGTCATATTTCATAGAAGCGGATTTAATTTACTAATGACACTTTATGGTAGCTCACTGAAAACTGTTTGTGTTTCTTAAACACTGAGGGGTACAAAAGTCTTAAGATGAGCTGAGAGAAGTCGGTCCAGTTTGAGATAATTCACCAACTGTCTCTTCTGGAGAGAGTGAGTCAAGAATGGAAGTAATGTGAGTTGCACAAACGTCAGACTGGTTTTCTTCCTCTAGAACGCATGTTCCTAAGACCAGGAACAAACTTCAGAAGTCTCAAAGAAAGTAAGTTCTGTCTCTCGGTTGCCAAAGCAGTCGCAGATAAAATATGTCAATTCAAATAAAAGAATAATTGGAACTAAACAAAGGTGGTGAACCACAAGAGGGTTCCAACAACCATGTCATTTGGGGAAATGTCAAAGATAATAAGCAGTTTAAAGGGAAATATCTTCAAAAGCAAACAGAGAAGAAGAAAAGATCAGGGAAAACTGATGAGGAAGATAAGAATTCATTGAATTCCTTTGCAGCATCTTCTCAGCCCCTATTTGAAGATGTTTATGAAAAAAAATTTTTTTTTATAATTGTATCCCCTCTGCATTTTCCCATTTTCCTCCCCCTACTCAAGCAGGCAACAGGTTCTCCCTTTATGTATATTTTGCCTCAGGTGAGGTTTTTGCAAATTTCTTGGGTTTTGCTTCTGAAAGCTCAAGTCCACTAAGAAGAATAGGGTTTGAGAATGGGGAGATCTCCATCAGAGTAGTGAGAGTCCACTGGACTGAGGAGAGGAAAGGGAGCTCAGTGGGTCTCTGAGGCCTACAACCTGCTCAGTAGCAACAGGCCACAAATTTGGGCACATCTGAGAGGAAAAGGCCACGCAGTGCACCACAAAATCTATCTAGATTGAAGGTATAAATCCTCAGCCTTACCAAGGATTCCACATGTATCAAAGAGCAGCGGTTCTGAAGGGACCACAGAGGCTGAGGCAGTGGACAGCTCAGCGATAAGCAGTGTGGACAGATGACCAATGATAGAAGTTCTGTCCAAGTCTGTGGATCTTTAGCAAAACTCTGTGGGTTTTAGATTATCTGTGAGACTCTGAGACAGGAAAAGCACTCAGTAGTGAAAGAAAACAGAGAAACAACTGAGGGTGACTTTCTTGACAGCCCAGGGGGATGGGACTCTGCAGTTGGAATTAATTGAGCCAAAAAGAAAGAAAGAAATGTCATCTTGCACATCTAAATTTGCAGACTGATCACTATTCAATATATGTGTCTCCCATGGGTCAACAGTGTCAGTGAAATCCCTTGACCCTTGGAGGACCTGAGATATAAAAGAAGGAGGCCAGTGTTAAGAGTCAGAGTTTGAGACTCTGCCACTCCTAGAGTGTGAGATTTTGGGCAAATCATTTTGTTTCTTTTTCAGAAACTTTGTTTTACTATATGTAAAATGGGCACTAGTTCCTCAGGTCATTGTGAAGATCAAATGACATACTTAGTAAATACTAGTACTTAGTAAAATACCAAGAAAATACTTAGTAAATAGCAAAACACGATATGTGTATAAAGTCTTATCACTAAAACTTTGCCTTCTTAGAAAACTTGTCAAGATGCTCTCTTTGATGATTGTCACCCTGCTGTCCTGCTGGAGCACCTGACCACCCAGCCCCCCCACCCCCCATTAACTCAGTGCCTGACACATCTGCTTACCCATTATAATCAGTCAGGAGGAAGGTATTGTCACTGCCATTCTCAAGTGCATAGGAGATGGGTGTTCCGTAGTTGGTGGTGTCAGAGGATTTCATCCAGAACGTGCAGGTCACAGCACGGAGAGATGGAAGCACGCCGTCCAGCATGACGTAACCATAGATACCGGAAACTTCAAAATCCAGGTTAAAACCTGTAGACTGTTCTGCAATAAACACGAAAAGTGGCAGACCACGGCACTTGAGAAGTATTTTTCAATTGTCTAAGGTAAGCAGTACTGTTGTCAAAGAAGCTCATTTCAGCAAATACGACGATCTGAGGAGCAGTCTCAAAACTAAATACATATTATGTACAAAATATATAACATATTCTTTTAAATAAAATAACCAGTGAGTATCTAAGACAGGAAAAGCACTTGCTAGCGAAAGGAAGCAGAGAAACAGGGAGTAGTTGGAGGGAGAGGTGGGACTGGGAAGTTATTAAGGATGGGAGACACTAAAGCATGTCTGTATGCTGATGGGAATGACTCAGTAGGGCAGAGAAACTGATGTTGCAGGAGAGAAGGAGGGTAACTGCAAGGGCAACATTCCATCCTTTCTTAGGGCTCTGGCTCTTCTCTATTTCATGAGCAATCCAGCTCTGCCCCAATTCTGCATACCTCACTCAATAAAACAAAAGTCCTACAGCCAAACTAAAAGACTCCAGCACCCTGAGAAAGCAAGTTAGCATCGATTCTCACACATGTCCACAGATTCTGATCTCTTAAATCAAGGAGCTTACCAAAGTGTCGTTTCTGAACATATAGAAGCCAGCCCTGGCGGTCAGCAGTTAAGATTCGGTGCTCTCACTGCCATAGCCCATGTTCATTTCCCTGGTCAGGGAACCACACCACCCATCTGTTGGCTGTCATTCTGTGGTGGTTGCCTGTGGCTGTGATGCTGAAAGCTATGCCACCAGTAGTTCAAATACCAGCAGGGTCACCTCTGGTGGGCAGGTTTCAGCAGAGCTTCCAGACTAAGACAGACTAGGAAGAAGGACCTGGCCACCCACTTCCAAAAAAACTGGCCATGAAAACCCTATGAAAATCCTAGCAGCAGAGCACTGTGTGATATAGTGCTGGAAGGTGACAGGATGGCACAAAAAGATGGGCAGAGTTTCGCTCTGTTGTACACAGGGTCACTAGGTGTCAGAATCGACTCGATGGCACTAACAACAAAGAATGTGAAGAGTTCTGCTAAATTCAGTTTTCTCCATTTCCCCCTCACATCTCTAAGCTTCAATTTCGTCACCTGGATTACTGGGGATAATAAAACATCGCCTAATCTATTGAATGCTGTGAAGATGAAATAAGTACAAAATGTTTAGCATAGTTTTTGGTATATAGGCAGTGCTTGGAGCAAAAATCGACATTGTTATTATATCACTATGTTTGGTATTGTTATTAATAACACTGAGCTCATATATACCTGTTTCACACCTGCTCCCTGAAAATCCTGGCAGACATTTACAACTGTATGAGTTTAATTCATCCACACAGGTGGCCTGATTTCTACATGGGTTGGACTGACATTCATTGATGTTCAATTCACAGTGAGGCCCCGTGAAGCCTGCTGCACACTGGCACCTGAAAGAAAACAAAATGTTGTGACGATGAGAACAGTTGCAGAAAGGCGTTAGAACAAGGTGCCCAATTATGACAACACTGTCTCAAAAGACTTTGAAAATTGAAATGCTGAAGCATATTTTCCACAACAAAACAGTGCGTTGACTGTCAGTTACTTTTTTTAGTTCATCTAATTAAACCTATTGAGATGATCTAATATACAGCACGTATTAGAAATGCTGTAGTAAAAAAAAAAAAGCAGTTGTGACGGAGAGGAAGTCAAGATGGCGGCGTAGGCAGACTCTGAACTCACCTCCTCCCGCGGACACAGCCAATTTACAACTACTCGTGGAAAAATTACCCCTGAGACAGAACTGAAAACTGGATA